TCCTTTTAACTTTTTTTTTTTTTTTTTTTTTGGTGCACATATGAGAATTTAAAACATTACAAACAGTATTGAACATTATTGTTTAATGCTGTTTGATTGACTCAAATCACAGGCTAAAATTGCTGGGTTCTCATTAGCAGTTATAATTCATGAACACAATTGCCATTAAAACATTAGTAAATCCATTTCTGTGAGGCTGACAGGTGGCTGAATCTGAATGACCAGTTCATGCAATGTCCATGTTCAATGGCTTTGTCAGCACAATTGTTTAGCCATGATATTGAGTCTTTTCTCTTTCTATTCAAACAGATGAATTACCCCTGCTGGTCTGGACTGTTTGGGTTTAGAATCATGTTACCCTGCTTACTGCCATCAAAAGATTAACGACTAAGTTACCCGAAACTCTCTTGGTCAGTGGATCTGCCTCAACAAAACACACAACATTGTGTGTGGACGGATTGTGGTCTGATTAAAATGCTGACGACTAAGTACTCTGAAGTTCACTCAGTATACTACAGCGTGCATTCATATATTTCTTTTTTAAGAAAATATGAACTTCATAAGGTTTTATGGGATTACATGTTTGTTTCATTCAGGCAAATGGCAACATTGCTGTTTTCTGCAGTGACAATTTATTGCTATAATAAATATGAAGGTTCAAATCACATTATTAAACATGAATTGGAGTGATACAATAAAAGTAAAACTTTTTTGGCCATTGCCAAAGCATTTCTGCTGCACTGCATGGCAAAATGGAGAGAGTGCAAGAGGGACAGACGGAGGGAAAAAGAAGGGAATTGGCTCATTCCAGTGTCTCAGAAATAGCACAAAATCCTCCCCCTTCTCCCTTACATCACCTCTTACTCTCATTCTCTGGTTGTACCTCTCTTCCTGGAGATGAAAGCTTGTCACGTTCTCTTATGTAACCAAACACAGCCTAACACAGTGGACCCACATTAGGGACTGTGTCTGTATTTCTGGATTCATGTGTTTTGCGTCTGCAGGGAGGGCCTGTGTATTGGGTTTTTCGTACATGGCTGTGAGTGTTGGCACTGCTGTGCTTTCATTTTTGGACAATAATGTCCCACTGGGGCTTGATAAAGACAGTTGGGGAGTCCTGATTAATTCCTACCAGTTTATGACCATCTGTATTAAGTATAAAGGAGCTGGTGGCAAAGCTGGTTTCTTTCTTTAGGAAAAATAGCGAAACCACAAAAATCACGACAAATCTTGAGTCACATACAGTATCTGTAGACTGTTTCTATTTGCTATTTTGGCTATTATAGCTGTTATGATTATTATTATTATTCAAATACTCAAAACATATTTTGAAAAATGAGCAGTGTTTCAAAAGTGCATATAGGACACCAACATCACTGGGACCTTTTCAGTAGCTCTTTCTGCAGGTTACGCCAGTAGATGGCAACAGTGACAGTCTTTATGAGTGTTTCTGTGAATTATTCATTGAACTGATTGGCTATAGATTAATTTATGAACAAAACAAGTGACTGTCTGCATCTGAAATCACATACTTCCCTACTATATAGTAGACGGAAAAACGGTATGTTATATCCGAATCCACAGTATTCGTAAAACAGTAGGCGGAAAGTGCCCAGATGACTCTTGCAGCGAGATTATGAAGTGTGTATCCGATCCCTTTTATTATACTAAAAGTGTAGTAACCATGTTTTTTGGCAGATTGATTACCATTTGTATAACAACAGTTTTACTACAAATACCATGCTCATGCCCCAGTAAAAAAGGTCTAGCAACGACTCCTGGTAGGAACACTCCACTCATATGTAGCTTCCCTACATATAAGTGACTCTTTCTGGGTTACCAAGTGCAAAAACCAGGGTCAGAAATCCAGCCCTCAGAGATTATTGAGACGATAAATGCTACAGGTCAAATTTGCTTTCTGGAGGTAAAGAGATTATTAGCTAGTGGAAACAGAGGTTGCACAACCTTTTTAAATAAGTAGCTATATTTGCCCACTGACCTGATTTCTGTCTTTATATAATCCTATTATGTACAATATTTTTAATATTATAATTTTAATGTTTCTTTTTTATTTATTTTTTTATTTCAGGCCATTTTGTCCCAAGCCCAGGGACATTTCTGAAGCTTAGTAAGCATTTGTACAGAATATTATACTATTCTCAAAAATATCCTTAGAGAGGCATCTTTCCTCTAAAAAGCCATTATTTTTAATGCACAATTCCTTATCTCTAATTTTGCATTTATGCCAAATCTCTAATCACATGTCTGTGTGTTAACAGTGAATTAGCAGGTTTAACCAATGACATCCTTTTCAAAACATACTCAACTATGACGTGTGCAAATCTTCTCTAAATTATGCATGTTAAACATTTAAACTGAAAATACAAACGCTCACAGGAGAAAAGAGCAGAGGCATAAAATGCTGTGGGCCACATCACCACAAACTTCCTGTGTATGTGTGCTAGCATGCTTGACACTGAATCCACACAACAAATGTCCATTAGCTTGCAGTAATTCATAAA